CCCTGGTCACTGCCAGGTGTTGCCAAAATGTTGTCCTCACTGTGAAGGGAAACAGGAGAAAGCAGCAGACAGTGTTTGTGGGACTCCATCCTGGGAGCCACTCAGCTTTGTGTCAGGAATTTTCCCCTCGGGAGTAACACACTGGGACTTTGTCAGTGGCCAGTCACTCCATAGGTTGCAATTGCAGTTGCTACAGGGTTTTTTTTACTTTCCCTCGAGGATGTGGCAGTATTCAGTGTATTCAGCTTCTCCCCCCACGTCGGGTGCTGGGCTGGGAGCCGTCAGACACCAATTCTTACACCATCCTGGTTTTGTTGTCTTTCAGAATTATCCAGCAGCTGGTCAATGGAATTATTGCACCGACCACAATTCCAAACCTAGGCCTGGGCCCTTGGTGAGTTGGAGGATGTGCTGCTCACTCTGGCAGTGGTTCGTGCTCACGGATGAACTCACTTGTGTCCTTGCTCCTCAGGGGAGTCCTGCACTCAAACCCGATGGACTATGCCTGGGGCGCCAACGGCCTGGATGCGATCATCACGCAGGTAAAACACGCGCGGTTCGTGTCCAGTGAGGTGCTCGGGGGGCAGCACCTGTGGGGGCAGGAGTGGGACCTGGGGGCTGCAGTGCAGGCAGTGTGGGGTGCCTGGCTCAGGACACAGCGCGTCCCATGTGCTGCAGAGCTCACCTCTCCCTCCTGCCTGTCTGGCCGCTTGTTTTTCCAGTTACTGAATCAGTTTGAAAACACTGGACCACCGCCAGCAGACAAAGAGAAGATCCAGGCCCTCCCCACCATACAGATCACACAGGAGCACGTAGGTACGTGTGTCTGCTCCAGGGAGTCCTGCACAGAGAGCTCTGGGGAAGCTCTGTAACGTTGTCTTGGGACTTGAATTTTGTCTGCTTGTACCTTCAAGGCCTAAAGCATTTCAAAGAGAGGGAGAGAGCTGGAGTGGCTCTGTTACATTCACACAAACCAAAGAGCAGTGTAGGTTGGATGGATTTGCCCTGGGGAGACAAACTGTTGTGAGAAGTTCAGTGTGGATAGAGATGGAAAAGCAGAAGGGCAGGATGAGGCAGCCTCGGGACAGGGGGAGGTGGGGTGATGGTGGGGAGACTGCAGAGCACCAAGCTTTCCTCTTGGCAGGGATGGGGCACTGGTGGGGAAGGGAAGGGGGTGATGTCAGGGGCTTTGTGTGCCACTCTCCACGTCTCAGCTGTGTTTGGCTTTCCCTGTGTGAAGCAGATTCCGGGTTGGAGTGCCCTGTGTGTAAGGAAGACTACACAGTTGGGGAGAATGTGCGGCAGTTACCGTGCAATCACCTGTTCCACGACGGCTGCATAGTCCCCTGGCTGGAGCAGGTGAGTGGGGGCAGAGCACTGGGGGTGTCTGGTGGTCCTCTGTAAATATTTTCCTACCTCTGTGATGGGGCCAGAGCACAAGCAGCCTTTGATCAGAGGAAGGACTGACACCCCAGGCTGCTCCTCGAGTGCTGCTCCCGTATCGTGTTTCTAATGCCATTTCCCGTGTTTCTCCTTCTGTTTTTGTCTGCTCCCCAAAGCATGACACGTGTCCTGTCTGCCGGAAAAGCTTAAGTGGACAAAACACTGCCACAAACCCCCCAGGACTCACGGGAATGAACTTCTCATCCTCCTCCTCCTCCTCTTCATCCAGCTCACCGAGTAATGAAAACTCATCGAACAACTCATGAATCTTAACGCACCCTCTGTCCCCGGGGCCCCCACTGTCCCCTCCCCCCCCCGGCCACCGCCAGCAGCCAAAGGCTTCCAGAGCAGAGCGAGGGGAGGGGACCAGGGGGAGCAGCACCCCCAGAATTCCCTTTTGAGTTCTGAAGACACGGAGACTCTGGGCCCTTCAGAGATGAGAAGTCTCAAGTTCTGTGATGACAAAGGGGGGAAAAGAGCTCTGTC